TGAACCTTCGCACCTCCACAAGTAAGCTGTTATTATCCCAATTTTATAAATGAAGAAACTGAACTCCTTAGAATAAACTGAAGAGCCAGAAAATTCCCTGGGATAGCTGAGCTTGTAATTGTTCCACAGATAAAAGCCCCTGTTAAAGATGAAATCACAACCAGAGTTTTAGATTGACATTTATTAATGTTGTATATTTCAGGCTGATTCTAAAACTTTAGAAATAGCAAGCATTTACTGTGTGTGTGTGTGTGATTGTTTGTGAAGCCAAATAGTTTATGTGGGCCCACAGAAAAAGAAAGCTCATAAAAGAAATATAATTGCTTTTCATTATATCAGTAAGGGTGACATATAATGATTAGGATCAAATAGACTATATTTTATTATAACCAACGAAAGACAAAAATTATGTCACATTTTAGTTTGCATCATATTTGATTTTTATTTTGTTTTTTCAAGATCAAGAAACAGAAGAAAACCAGCTGCCAGTAGTCTCCCTCATGTCCCCTCCCAGGGGCTAGACCCCTCCCTTTAATACCATAGACCTGTTTAGCCAGTGTAATGGAGTCTTATACAAACGACCTCATTATTCAACATTTCACATTTACGACAAAAGGAAAAAATGTACTATCCACCTCGTGTGAGCATTAACAATGTAGACCTGGCAGTAACACAGGATGAGGAATGAGGCCAGAATAATGCTGACTTTACTGATTAAGGATATGTGTCAGTTTAGCTGGGCCATGAGGCTCAGCAGGTTGGCATTTAGGTAACGATGAGGTGTCCTCCTCTGTTTTGTGATCTGATGGGGCCATCCACCATGTTTGCATAATGCCAATTTTATCTTGTTTTTTTTTTTTTTAACTACTATCCACTTCTGAATCTATTTTTTCTCCTCCTTTTCCTTTTTTCACCCTTCAGTTTGCATCATATATGAATCATAAATTTCTCTCTGTTCTTTTTTTAGAAAGAATGCTATTAAGCTATCATTTTCATACTATAACAGTCACCAATTTTTAGTTCTTTTACATTATTATTTTTAGCAAATTTATTAAGTTGTGTGATCATTACCACAAGCCACTGTCAGAATATGTGCATCACCTGAAAAAGATTTTTCATGCCTGTTAAAAATTCATTTTTATTACTGTAGCCAACCATAGACAACAACAAATACTCCTGTGCTATTTCCAGATATTTCATGTAAATGGAATCATATAGTATGTCAACTTTTGTATTTGTCTTGTTCCATTTACAGTAATGTGTTTTTGAGATTCTTCTATGTTATATTTAGTGTTTTTGTCCTACTGAAGAGTATTTCATTATATAGATGTACCACATTGTGTTTATGTATTATTCATCAGTTGAAAGGTATTTAGGTTATTTTAACTTGTTATCTGTTATGAGTAATGCTGTTATGAACATTCATGTACAAAGCTTTGTGTGGACATACATTTTCACTTTCCTTGGTGGAATTCCTGGGTCATATTCTAGGTTTCACTTGTTAAGAAACTAGCAAAGTATTCGCCACAATTTTACATTCCCACCAGCAATGTTACGAGGATTTCAGTTTTCCCACATCCTTCATGTTTTCTTGTTAATTGCCATTGAGTTGATTCTGACTCACAGTGATCCTGCATAGGATTTCTGAGGCTTTCATTCTTCGAGGGAGCAGAAAGCCTCATCTTAATCCCTCAATCAGAGTGGCTGGCGGACTCCAATCTTGGACCTTGTGGTTCACAATCCTGTGCCTATCTATGAAGACTTAGCGCTCAGAAAGACTTGGATAGAACTTTGAATATAAATGATAATGGCATTGTGTGTCACTGGGGAAGGAACAGATTTCTCAATAAGAAAGTATATTATCCATAGCAAGGCAATAAACAATGGGCCATACTCTGTACAAGACACAGAAATTCTAGATGGATAAAAGAGATACGCAGGGGAAGCAACGTTCAAAAGTGTTAGGAGAAAATATATTTTAGAATATTTTTTAACCTCAGGGAAGGCAAAACACTCTTTAAAGGTTCAAAAAGCACTAAACATGAAGAAAAGTTTGATAATTTAACTACATTAAAATTAAGAACTCTTTCTATTTAAAAAACAAAATTCTAAAGAAAACAAAAATCCTCACAACTGGACCAATAAATTACATCATGATAAATGGACAAAAGATTGAAGTTGCCAAAGACTTCATTTTGTGTGGATCTGCTATAAACACTGTGAAAGCAGTAGTCAAGAAATCAAAGACTGTATTGCAATAGGAGAATCTGCTGCACAAGATCTTTTTAAAGTGTTCAAGAGCAAAGATATTAGTTTAAGGACTAAGGTGTGCCTAACCTAAGAAATGGTATTGTCAGTCACCACATAATGCTTGTGAAAGCTGAATAATGAATGAAGAAGACCGCAGAAGAATCTATGCATTTGAATCATGGTATTGAAGAAGAACTTTTAAAGTGCTATGGACTGTCAGAATAACCAACACATCTTATGTTGGAAGAAGAACAACCAGAATGCTCCTTAGAAGCCAGAATGGCTAGACTTTGCCTTTCATACTTCAGACATATTATCAGGAGGGAACAGTCCCTGGAGAAGGATAAAGAGGAGAGTCAACCATCAGCACTCATGGAAGCAGCAGTCAAGAAATCAAACAGCGTGTTGCATTAGGCAAATCTGCTGCACAAGACCTCTAGAGTATTCAAGAGCAAAGGTATTAGTTTGAGAACTTAAGTGCACCTGACCCAATCTATGGTATTTTCAATAGCCTCATTTGCATGTGAAAGTTGGACAATGAATAAGAAAGGCCCTAGAAGAATTGATGCATTTGAGTTATGGTGTTGGAGAAGAATATGAAAGGTACCATGGACTGCCTGGAAAACAAACAAATCTGTGTTGGAAGAAGTATAATCAGAATGCTCCTTAGAAGCCAAGATGGCCAAACTTTGTCTCTCCTACTTCAGACATATTATCAAGGGGGACCAGTCCCAGGAGTAGGACATCATGCTTGGTAAAGTGGAGGGTCAGAGGAAAAGAGGGAGACCCCCAACAAGGTGGGTTGGCCCAGTGGCAGCAGCAGGGCACTCAAACATAGCAACAATTGTGAGGATGGCATAAAACCAGGTGGTGTTTCGTTCTGTTGTACATAGGGTCGCTATGAGTCGAAACTGATTCAACAACACCTAACAACAACAAAGAACTCTTACAACTTAAAAACAAAAAAGCAAAAGAATAAAAACAAAAACGATTAAAAGAGGAACAAAAGATTAGAATAGACATTTCTCCAAGAAGACACAGAAATGACCACCATGCCCATGGAAAGATGCTCATCAGTAAGTGGGAAATGCAAATCAAAACCACATTGAACTATCACTCCACACTAAGATGGCTAGAAAGAAAAGAATAGGTTTTGATGAAGATTTAGATGAGTTGGAACTCTCCGAAGTTCCTGTTGAGAATATTATCAGATGCAGCCATCATGGAAAACAGTTTGGTTGTTTCTCAATAAGTTAAATATAGAATGGCCATATCACAGAGCAACTCCACTCCTAAGTATATACCACCCCTGGCCCCCCCCAAAAAAATGAAAGCAGGAGTTCAAAAAAATGTGTACTGCTCACAGTGGCCCAAATGTGAAAATAACTCAAATGCCCATCAGTTGATGAAGGGGAAAACAAAATGTGGTACAATTTATCCCCTGCTCTGTTATCTAGCAGTAAAAACGAATGACTGATACATAATACAGCCCTTATGAATCTTGAAAACATGGTACTAAGTGAAGAAACCAGATGTATGTATATATAGGCAGAACACGCGAAGACACAGCAGTAGAAGGCAGATTGGTCATTTCCTGGGAAGGAAGGAAGAAGTGTGAGTGTTTGCTGAATGGGCACAGGTTTTCTTTGGGGGGTAATGACTATGTACTGAATCTACACAGTGGAGACGTGTCCACGACATTGTTAATGTACTAAAGACACTGAATTGTACCTTTAAAATGGTTTGAATGGTAAATTTTATGCTATGTGTATTTTACTGCAAGGAACCAAATAAATAAATTGCATATCTACACATTGGCACAAATCAGTCAGAATACATAATTCTTAAGAATTTTTCTCAGGATTTTTTTTCTCATCTTCACATCTCAGCGATGTCTCTTATTGTCATTTCAGGAATTCAACTGTTTATGTTAGCTAAGTTTCTCTGTATCAAGGTAAAAAGCTGTCAGCTAATGCTCATTTTCATATTAGATATTTTGTTGCTGTCTTGGCATATGAGAATACTTTCCTGATTATGGGTGGGGGGTTTCTCTCGCAAGGTCTATAAAGATACTTTGCATCCCCATGTTAGTGACTTTATTGTTGTTAAATCTGTGGAGTTGGTACTGACTCATCTCAACACTGTATAAGCTTTCCAAGGCTGTCAATCTTTTCAGAAACAGAAAGCTTCATCTGTCTCTGACAAATCGTCTGGTGAACTCGAACCTCCAACCCTGTGGTTCACAGTCCAGTGTTTATTGTGAAGAGCCATCGCACTCCCTATAATAATGACTGAATATATAGTTAAATAGATACTTTTATTTTCTATGCTTTATTTGATTACTACACATTCTCTTCACAAAGGTTCAGTGTTTGAAACTCATTGAATTTAGGCAGCGGTCGTCTTTCAGAAATAACTGACAGACACTAAGGGGAAACAGTGACAGGATAACTTTTAAAATATAAACATCAGGGAAGATCAAATAAGAGAAAATATAAGACATCAACTTTTTATTTATCCTATAGTTTTCTCAATCTTATCTAAAGCTCATTTGAACCTGTATTTATTACTATTCAGCGTTATCTTATACATCAGTTTTTAAATCAAACCTCTCTTTTTTTATCCTCAGTTACTGAAAAGAATGTCTATAGCTTTGAAGAACATGGTATTGCAAAGTTTTTGATTGCATTGGCCATCATGGGCTTATTTTTTCTCCTCTTGATTTTATGTCTGGAGTTTTCATTCTGGAACCTGAAAATCTTTCTCTTAAATAAAATTATTCCTAATGTCTTCCAGATATTCATGAGAGTTAACAAGGTGAGTTACTAGCATGAACTTTGGATACAACTTGTTGTTAAGTGCCGTTGAGTCGGTTCCAACCCATAGCGACCCTGTACAGGGTTTCCAAGGCTGTAAATCTTTACGGGAGCAGAAAACCTCATCTTTCTCCCACGGAGCAGCTGGTAGTTTCCAACTGCTGATCTGAAGGTTCGCAGCCTGATTCGTAACCACTGTGCTACCAGAGCTCCTTAGATACAACTTAAGACCCCTCAATATTAGGACAGTAGGTATGGATTTACATGTATCTTCCTTTATTACCGGGTAAAGAAAATGTCCAATAATGACAGCAAGCCCCAACAGGGTCCCAGGGAAAGTAGAAGTTTTTGTCTTAGTTTGGGCGTCACAGTTCTGAGCCATGGGTTCTGGCCAGCAAGGGAATGTTCATGTGTAGTGGACCAACTACCACGGGAAGCCCTATGTAGCAGCTACACTGCCTCTGGGGCACTTTGATTACTATTAAGAAATTGACTTCTTTAAAACTGTGTAGTATTATATGACTTCATGGCCTCTAGCTTTCAGAGTTATGATTATTGCTTTATATAGTGTTTGTGTTGTGACACGGAGTTGGTTCCGACTCATAGCAACCCCCTATAGGGTTTCTGAGGCTGTAAATCTTTATGGGAGCAGAAAGCCTCATCGTTCTCCCATGGAACAGCTGGTAGTTTCGAACTGTTGACCATGAGGTTAGCAGCCTGACTCGTAACCACTATACTACCAGGGCTCCTTATTGCTTTATATAGCTCTCAAAATTTCATAAATTTCAGGATTTTCCTAGGATTTTAAAGATTACAGCAAATCCCCAGGTTACAACATCTGATTTACGGACAACTCAGCAGCATAAGTAGAGAGATGACCATGTATGGTTGAGAAGGTGACACCAGCATGCCTTTCTATAAACATTTTGTGCCATGTTTCAACAGAAGTTGATTGGTTTTTATAAAAGTGTGCTTGTAGCTAGTTATAATAACAGAACAGTTCTCAGAAGTCCAGCTTGCTTGTATCAGCTTAACTACAGGGCTAAAACTATACTCATTTGCCTTTGAAGCTTCTAATGTGTTCCTGTCAGAGCTGTCACTATTATCCAATGACAGTGACGCTTAAATCACAAGGTTTTGTCAGAAGTGCTCCAAGCATGTGCTGTTGCATTTATTGCTGCCAATGTTTTCATAGCCACTGATTTGGTCAAACTCTGTGGTGTTCGATCTGTAATACTGCAGTAATCAGTATTAAAGCATTAAAGGAATTAAAGGAAAAGACGGGGGGACAAAAAGGCTTCTGTTCAATTGTTTATAATGTAATTTAATCTTGAAATCTTTTACAGTTTTGTTGTTAGAAGTCATATAATCTTAGCAATGTTACATTTTAAGCAATATACAATGGTATTTATCACCTATAATTCTCTAATTGAGATGTGTAATAAACAGTAAGTACTAAGGGTTGTATATCATCTGATGTGGAAGAAGATCTAGGAAGTAACCAACCCCAGAGCATCACTGCTCGTACTTGCCCTTTAATGCTGCCTGAACTTGCTCTCACTTTAAATGACTGAGCCAAGCCCTCCTCCCAACCAATTCTTCATCACAGCATTTCCATCATTGAAAAGGCTTCAGGCTGAATGAGAACCCTATGCACTTGTTCCGACTTACCTACAAATTCCACTAAAAGACACAGGTAGGAATGTTCTATTCCTCTTCATAATCACGGGACTGTCTGTCAGAGATCAGTTCATTCCTTAAGAGAATCCCTCTGGTCTTATTAAGTCTCCACCACTCGTCTGTCAGCCCGTCGTACTGTGATGGCTTGTGTGTGGCTATGACGCTGGAAGCTAGGCCACTGGTATTTTGAATGCCAGCAGGGTCACCCACAGGGGACAGGTTTCAGCTGAGCTTCCAGACGAAGACTCAGGAGAAAAGAGGCAGACTATTTTCTAATTATTAGCCACTGAAAACCTTAGGAATAGCAATGAGACACTGTCAGGTAGTACCAGAATGTTGGATATTGAAACATGATAAATAGCACCAGAATGTTGTCAAATATAGTGTCAGAAGATGAGCCCCTCAGCGGGGAAGGCATTCAAAATACGACTGGGGTAGAGCTGCCTCCTCAAAGTAGGGTTGACCATGATGATGCGAATGGAGTAAAGCTTTCAGGACATTCATTTCCTAATGGGGCACAACCCAAAATGAGGAGAAACAGCTGCAAACGTTAATAATAGGAACATGGAATTATGAAGTATGATTCTAGGAAAATTGGAAGCTGTAAAAAACGAAATGGAACGCATAAAGATCAATGTCCTAGGCATTAGTGAGCTGAAATGGACTGATATTGGCCATTTTAAATCTGCCAAACACACGTTTTACTATGCTGGGAATGAAAAATTGAAGGAGAATAGTTTTACATTCATCCTCAAAAAGAGAGAGACCCCCAATGAGAGGGATTGGCACAATTGCAGCAGCAACATGAGGATGGTGCAGGACCGGGCAGTGTTTCGTTCTGGTGTTCATTAGACCCTTCCGAGTTGGAACCTACTTGACAGCACCTAACAGTGGCAATACTGGAACATCTCTCGCACAGAGAAACATTGCCCTACAATACATCTGTCTGCAACTGTTGGGTTCTACCCCAGGGTAATTCTGGCTCTCAACCGTACGTTTTTGTTAGGCTGCATATTTCTAATGTTTCAGGAGAGAACATATACTGAGACCATAATGGTACCTCCTGTCTCCTGTGTTCTCTTTAGTAGAATAGAATTACTCAGAATTTTAGTTCCCCTTACAGATTGATAATGAATCCCTAGCACTACATAGTGGGCAAAAGTCCTATTTCTACATACGTTTTCCCCAAAACCCAAGCCAATTCAACCATTTAATTAGAGGAAATCTGGTCAACACCTGGCACTAGAAATAAATGAAGTTTGTGAAATAGGAAAAAAAAAATGTTTTTTACCCTAGTGCTTAAGACAATCATGGGAGCATCGTGGCTCTGAGAGATAAGTACTGAGCTACAAACTACAGAGTCAGCAGTTCAAGTCCATCGGCTGTTCCTCAGGAGAAAGATGAGGCTTTATGCTCCTGCAAAGATTGACTGCCTTGGAAGCCGTATACCGGGTTGCCATGAGTCAGAACTAACTTGATGACACTTAACAATAACAAGACAATCATATGCTTTACTGTGCCAGGAATGCCAAATTGGAGAAGCATGTCATTACATTCATCACCAAAAAGAGCATTTTAAGATCTATCTTGAAGTACAGTGCTATCTGCGATAGGATGATAGCCATATTACCCATATTATACAAGGAAGATGGGAGTTCTGATGTGGCACTGTAGAGTAAGCACTGGACTGCTAACTAAAAGGTCAGTGGTTCAAACCCATCAGCCACTCCTCAGGAACTCTATACAGGGTCACTATTAGTTGGAATAAACTCTACGGCACTTAACAAGAAAGACAAGTTAATACCATGATTATTCAAATTTATGCACTAACAGTGATGAAGAAATGAAAGAATTCTCACTTCTTCAGATGCATTGATAATTACTGATGATTGGCACTTGAAAGTTGGAAACAAAGAAGAAGGATCACTAGTTGGAAAATACGGCCTTGGTGATAGAAATTAAGCTGGAGATCATATGATAGAATTTGCAAGAGCAATGACTTAGTCATTGCAGAACCTTTTTTTCAACAGCATAAACAGCAACTCTACAAGTGGACCTTGCCAGATGGAACACACAGGAATCAAATTGACTACATCTGTGGAAAGAGATAATGGAAAAGCTTCAATATCATCAGCCAAAACAAGGCCAGAGGCCGACTGTGAAACAGACCATCAATTGCTCATATATAAATTCATTCTGAACTTGAAGAAAATTTAAACAAGTCCTTAAAAGCCAAATTATGATCTTGAATATATTCCATCTGAATTTAGAGATCACCTCAAGAGCAGATTCAGTGCATTAGACACTAATGACCAGCTCTTCGAACAGGTTCATCATGGCCACCGAAGCCAAAGCAGAACAGACCCACATTGTATAAAATTTAGGTGGTTCAGAATACTAACCAATATGGGAAAAATTATGGGCCGAGGCCCTGGAATGAGAGACTCGGAAGAGGTGCCACGAGCTCGCTCAGGACCCTGACATGGCACTGGACACAGTCAAGACTGTGGACACAGCACACATACAAAGTGGCCCGCTGAGCTGCCATCTTCAAGCTGGGTACCACTGTTTTAGAATCAGTCTGTCAAGAGATTTGGTTGCTAGGCAACACACGGTGACCCTGTTTTCTAAGAGGGAGATTACGTTTCCAAAAGCTCTTCAACCTCTCATTTTCCCCGTTTCAGTTAATGTCCCAGTTCACCCACATTTTAAACATTCTGGCCCATTCCAGTGATGCTTTATCAGCCAAGCTGAAAAGATTCAAAGTTCTGGATAAGAAAGATCTGGGTTCAAACCCCACCACCACCACTTACTAGCTGTGTGACATTGGGCAAGTCATTTAACCTGTCTGAGCTTCATTTCCTTCCTCTTTACTATGAAAACTATTGTTACAGCTAAACACTTGGCTAATGAAAGGTTGGCAGTTCAGAGGTACCCAGAGGCACTGTGGAAGAAAGGCCTGATGATCAGGATCTGAAAGGTGAAAGCCTGTGGAGCACAGCTGCGTCACCACGAGTTGGAATCCAGTGATTTCTTATTCTCCACAGCACGTAACACCATAAATGATGTGCTGGGGTGGGCCACCAAGTCAGTTCTGACCAGAGTGACCCTGTAAAGGGCTTCCGAGGAGCAGAAAGCCTCAACTTTCTCCCATGGAGCAACTGTGATTAGTAGTCCAGTTCTTAGCCTACAGTCCCTCCAGGGCTACTTCAAATGGTCAGTTGTAGAGAATTCATTGATTAACAAAATTATTCTGTTGAATATTAAATGTCAAGGAAAACATATTCATGATACATAGTTATAGCTCCAAACAATGTATCAGAGTTGGTTTTAAAATATTTTTTTTCAAGTGTTTAATGTTCAAACACATATAATGAAAAGAATGAAGGATATCTAACTAACAATATTGCGTGATTTTGATTAGTTTTTTTGTATTCCTATGATGGATATGTTACTTTGAAATCTAGAAAAGCATTTGTATAGTAGAAAAATCAAAATGAATAAAACAATTGAACTGAAAGATTTAAGTTTTAGAAACTATTACATTTATGCACAATCCTTCAGTAACAGTGGTCTGAATAAATGCATAGGGTGTGGGAGGGAATTGGACTCTATCTACACATATATGTAGGTTTGACAGAGGATATTTGTACATGTGTATCTACCATTGCTTCAAATATATCCCCGAGGAGCATACAGGGGGCAAAGTTATAAAAACTTCTTAGATATAAATACCTTTAGGGAGTGAGTCACAGGTGCTGGGAACTAAGACCATGGTCTTGGGAGACACCAAGGTCAATTGGCATAAAGACAAAGCTCTACGTCCTGCATTTGTGAGTAGAGATCAAGGTCTTATAGGCTCATGAGAAGTCATCTAAGGTACAGCTATTGGTCTCTGCCCGGATGAAAGAAGAGTGATGAAAATTGAAGTCTCTTGGAAACTGTTAGTCCAATGGTCTAGTGAACCACGTGGGCATCAGTCTCTATGACCCTGAGACCAGAAGAACTAGATGGTGTCTTGCCACTACTACCAACTGCTCTCTCTGAAAGGAATCACATTACAAGTCCTGGAAAGAATCGGGGGAAATGCACGACAAAACTTCAAACCATAAAGAAGACAAGATTTTCAAGTTGGACAGAGACTACTGGAACCCCTGCTACGGGCCTTAGTCACTCTTCAGATCGGAAAATGAACTCACCCCCAAGGCTTGATTTTCTGTAAGGGGAGCAATAAAATAATAAAAATCACTCAGTTAAAACCAGATATCTAATACCTAAGAATTCTTTACACCTGTGACCTTTGTCTTAAGTGAGTCCACTCACCTTAGAATAATCAGCTATTAGAGATCCAAAGGGCGGCACTTACCCAAAGACAGTGCTCAGAAGGTTTAGGAAAAAAGGAGGAGTACAGCAAATACAAGGTGGAAATTGTTATTGTTGCTGTTAGGTGCCGTCAAGTCGGTTCTGACTCATAGCGACCCTGTATAGGGTTCCTGAGGTGCAGCTGATGGGTTTGAACTGCTGACCTTGTGGTTCACAGTCTAGTGATGTTCTATAGTGAGGATTGCAATCAATGACATGAATCAAAATGTATCTAAATTATTGAATGGAAAACTAATCTGCTCTGTGAACTTTTACCCGATTCACAAAAGAAGTTTAATAATTTTAAAAGTTCATGTAAGTTACAGGCAGTGTTATTGTAATTGGCATGAATGAATGAAGAGTTTTAAAAAATAAAAAGAATACATTTGGGCATGAGAGTTGAAACAATTGTTAGAAAGACTCTTAGGCGTTACACCGTTTCTGACATCTTTGAGAGTACCCCCTCAAGTCAGTTTGACTTGGTCACTCACTTTAAACCAGATATCTAATATGTAGGGATTATTTACATCTGTGACCCTTTGTCTTAACAATATAGGACATCATGTCCAGCACTGTAATTGAGGAATCTGAGGATGAAGATGTCGAAAATGAAAGGAAGAAAGTTCTGGCAGTGTCTCATACATTGCAAAATACTCCACTGTTTCTTAAAGAACTTACAAAGGTAAAGTTATTCAATGATGCATTGTTACAGCGTTAGCATATCTTCCCTGTAAAAAGTGTATTGGTGGTATTACTAATGAATTGCAGTTCTCTTGAAAATAGTCTCCTGGTGTGGCTTTATAGCATCAGCACGGGACTGTGAACCACAAGTCAGCAATTCAAACCCACCAGCTGCTCCTTGGAAACCCTATACAGGGTTGCCATAAGTCAGAACCAACTCATAGTGACCCTGTATAGGGTTTCTGAGGCTTTTTTCCCCCTTAATCTTTTAGGGAGCAGAAAGCCATATCTTTCTTCCACAGAGCAGCTGGCATGCTTAAACCGCAAACCTTGTGGTTTGCAGCCCAGTGCTTATGGTATGGAGCCACCGTGCTTCCCACATATATATCCATAAAGCGCAGTAAGATATGACTAGACTGTTAACCACAAGAGTGGTGGTTCACACCCACCAGTCACTCTTTGGAAACCCTATATAAGTCGCTGTGACTAACAGGGTGTGGTCCTGTAAGATGAGCACATGACTGCAAGATCAGTTTGAACCACAAGGTTGGTGGTTCCAACTAACCGCTTGCCGCTCAAAAACCCTATACTGTGTTGCTATGAGTTGGAACCAACTAAAGGGCACTTAACACCACCAACATATATATAGAGAGAGAGAGAGAAAGAGAGAGAGTGTGTATTCTGGTGTGGCACTGTAGGATAAGCATTGGACCAAGAGGTCTGTTTGAACTGCAAGGACGGCGGTTCAAACTCACCAGTCACTTCTCACTGTAAGTCGGAACTGGGACTTAGAGGGAAGGTGAGCTAAATATATATACATGCACACACATAATCTTGGAGTGGCGCTATAAGACGAGCACTGGACTGCTAATCACAAGGTCAGTAGTTCAAACCCACCAGTCACTCGTACAGTTTGAACCATTGACTTTGTTGTTAGTAGTCCAGTGCTTATGCTACAGCACCACACCAAGACTATATATATATATGTTGTTAACAGCCTTCAAGTCGGTTCTGACTCATAGCAATCCTGTGCAGTGTTTCCGAGGAATAGCTGCTGGGTTTGGACCACTGACTTTGTGGTTTGCAGTCCAGAGCTGATCCTATAGTGGCATCATGGGTTAGGTGTTAGACTGCTAACCTCAAGGTTAATGGTTCAAACCCATCAGCCATTCTGCAGAAGAAAGATGAGACTGTCAACTCCCTTAAAGATTTACAGCTTCAGAAGCCTGTGACCCAGTTTACTCTGCCCCATGGTGGTGGCAGTGGTGGTGTGCAGGGGGCCTCATTTCCGACTCAGCGTCCCTGCGCAGGGTTTCGGAGGCTGCAAATCTTTATAGGAGCAGAAAGCTTCATCTTTCTCCCTCAGAACTGCTGGTAGTTTCAAAGTGCTGACCGTGAGGTTAGCAGCCCAACTCGTAACCACTATGCTACCAGAGCTCCTTTGTATATACAAGGGGAGGGGAGAGAAGGGGAGGCTACAAAGTTCATGGAAAAGCTTCATTTCCTTTTCCATTTTCCGTGAACATTTTGAAATCTCATCTATGTATGTGTGTGTCGTTTTATATATATGTGTGTGTGTATGCATATATATTCAACTGGGAATTCATGTGTTTATTTGTTTATGGAGTCCTGGTGTGGCACTCGGGATTAATGTGCTGGACCACAAGGTCAGTTTGAACCACAAGGTCAGTGGTTCAGGCTCACCAGCCACTCCTCAAAACCGTATACAGGGTCGCTATGAGTCTGAACCGACTCAATGGCAGTTAACAACAACATGTGTGTATAGATAGATAGATACAGGTATAGATTATACATTATTGAGTGGTACTTAAGTGCCATTGAGGAACAACAGTTTCCAGGAGCGACTGGTGCGTTTGAACTCCCGACCTTGTGGTTCAAACAGACCTTGCAGTCTGGTTCTTATCCTACAGCGCCACAGCAGGACTCCATTATACATCTGCTTATACACTCACATGTTCACAGTGAAATGGAGACTTGAAGGGAGAAGATCTCTTGTGAGACTCTCCATGAGGGGCTGAGGTTTTGCCTGTGGCTGACCCACAACCAGTGGTTGAATACATTGTGGGTTGTTCTTTTTCCCTCAGATTTATTACAAGTGTCCGGTCATAACGGCTGTGAGAAATATTTCACTTGTAGTCAAAAAGTCTGAGTGCTTTGGATTACTTGGATTACAAGAAGTTGGAAAAACTGCTACCATTAAAATGTTGACTGGCGAGGAGCCCATCAGCTCTGGAGTTGTGTTCATTGATGGCATTAACATAACTGAAAATATCAGAGAGGTAATTTTGATCCTCGCCTTTGCCTTGGTGTTGTGAGGGAGGCTGTTCACCTGGAAACTAGGGGGAGACATGGAAGCAAAGGCTGGGGGGCATTGGTACATGTATGATGGGGCTTCGAAACGTTTGTGGAAAAATAGAATGAAAGGTAATGAAAAATGTCCACAAACGTTTCGAAGCCCCATCTTATGTATGTATCATCAAATATAAATGTATTTTCTCTTTTATTAGACAAAAGGGAACAGTCTATACACACTCTTCTGGACCTCACAACATTACTGCCTACATGTGGTTATATAAGTTTGTACTACACTAGCAATTTGCGGGGGTCCTGGTGTGACACCGTAGGATAAGCATGGGACTGTAAACCATAAGGCCAGCAGGTCAAACCCACCAGCAGCTCCTACTGAGGGTTGCTGTGTGCTGGAACCAACTTGACGGCACTTAACAACAACAGAAACAATTCGTAAGGTTGCCTCCTGCCTGGAGTGATCAAAACACAGTGTGTTATCAGTCTTTGGGATTTTTGCCAGTCTAGGAGATTTTTTTTAATAGTCTGTCAATATAGTTTTACTTGCTTTTTCTCTAATTATGAGTGATATTGCATAGCTTTTTGTATATTATAGAGTCAGTCATAATCCCTGACCTGTTAACTGTGTAAAGAATACTCTCTTCCTGCCCTTTACACAGTTGGCGGGGGTGGGGGAGTGGTTGGGTTTTGTTAAGTATCGCGGAGTGGGTGAACATTTACAGAACACATGAAGAACTCTCGCTAGCATTTCTTGCAGGCCTAGTCTAGGAGGAATGAATGTCCTCAGCTTCTGTTTGGCTGCTAATACCTTGGCTTTACCTTAGTTTTTGAAGGACAGTTTATTTCAGGTAATGGAATGATGTATGTATATATATATATATATATATATATATCATTCTACATATACTTAAAGAAATCAAATAACAGAAAGACAAAAACAAATGTATATATTCATTGGTGATGCTGAGTGCCATCGAGTCACTTCCGACTCATGGAGACCTTGTACAGAGTTTCCGAAGCTATAAATCTTTGTGGGAGGAGAAAGCCTCATCTTTCTCCTGGTATATATATGTGTGTGTGTGTGTATGTGTATTATATATATATATGTGGTGGTTATGTGCCGTGGAGTTGGTTCTATCTCGTAACGACCCTGTGTAGGATTTCCGAGGCTGAAAATCATCTTTCTCCTGCAGAACGGCTGATAGTTTTGAACTGCTGTCCTTGGGGTTAGCAGCCTGACTTGTAACCACTATGCTACCAGATATATATATATTATTGTCATTAAGTGTTGTTGAGTCTATTCTGATTCATAGTGACCCTGTATAAGGTTTCCAAAGAGTAGCAGGTAGGTTTGAACCACCAGCCTTACAGTTAGCAGTCCAGTGTTTATCCTACAGTACCACACCGTGACTACACACAAGTCCTGGTGTGGCACTGTAGGCTAAGCACTGGACCACAAGATTGGTTTGAGTCACAAGGTCAGCAGTTCAAATTCACCAGCAGCTTCTCAGAAACCCTAGAACCAACCCGATGGTGGCACTTAACAATTACGTGTGTGTGTGACTGACTTCTGGTCTCCAAAGTTTCTGATGAGAAATCAGCAGTTGATCTTTTTGAGGACCCCTTCGATGGTACACTGGCTTCCCTTGTGCTGCTCTCAGGATTCCGTCCTTATCTTAATTTTCATGAGTTTGATTACAATGCATCTTGCTGTGGGTTTCTTTGGATTTATTCTATTTGGAGGGTTTAAAGCATCTGGAATTTCTGGATTCAACTCACTAGCCAAGTCTTGTTTCTTTATTTAGGTCTGGGAATTCTCTATGATTATCTCTTGGGAAATTCTTTATAGACCTTTACTATTATCACTGTATTCTGAAATTCCAAAACTTGTAATGTTAGATGAATTAATCCAATCACACATTTCCATTTGACTTTGTTCACTTTTTCTTTGTTCTTTTTTCTTGTTTGTCTTGACTTAATAAGGTCAGTTACTCTGTCTTCTAGTTCACTTATTCTATCTTCTGTCTACTTAAATCTATTGTTGAATGGTTCTCTTGTGTTTTCTAATTCATTTATTTTTTAGTTCCAGTTTTTCCTTTGTTTGTTTCTCAATATTTTCAAACTCCTTATAGGGCTTCTCATTTTGTTTCCTGATCTCCATTCATCTTCCCCCCCCCCCCCAGATTATTATTTGATTTATTTAAACATATGTAGCATGATCGTGTGGAAGGATTCTTTTGTTTTCCATTATCCTGGTCTCAATAGGAGACACTACCTTTTCTTTGTGTTTTTCATTTTATTGAAACAGCTTGCCTTATGACGCTGTCTGCTTTATTATTATTGTTATTGTTGTTGTCTATGTGGCATTTTAATATCTTAATTGTGGTCATTTGAAATGTGAAGTTCTGTGTATTTCAAGAAATTAATTTTCATAGGTTAACTCCATTATGGAGTCCTGGTATGGCACTGTTGGGTAAGCACTACACTGCTAACCACAAGGTTGGTAGTTCAAATCCACCAGCCACCCCTTGGGAATCCTATACAGGGTTGCTATGACTCCAAACTGACTCCATGGCACTTAACATTTAACACCACCACTATCTTCTAAATTCCACTAGAGGGCACTCTGGCCTTTTGGTTCTTGCAGCACTGCGCAGTTCTGTCGGGAGATTATTCTAATAGGAGACTCTGAGGTCCTAGTGAGATGCTGTATGATAAACATTGGACTGCAGGGTCAGCAGTTCAAAGCAACCGCCTGCTCTTGGAATCCCTACACGGGTCACTGAGTCAGTACCAACTCGATGGTATGCAACAAAACCATAAGTCTAATTAGGAGCCCTGGGGGTGCAGAGGTTAAGCATTCAGCAGCTAACTGAAAGGACAGTGGTATGAACTCAACAGTTGCTCTGCCGAAAAAATGATGTGACAGTCTGCTTCTGTAAAGACTGGAAACCCTATAGGGCAATTCTATCGATCCTAGAATCAGCTCATCAGCAACAGGTCTGTTTCCACAGGTTTTGGTCGTGTTGGAAATTTTTGAGTCTCCGAGTGCTTACTTCACTCGTGAAAGGGTCCCTTGCCCAGATGTCTGCACTTCTGATCCCAGATTTCTTCCCTTCCCTTTGTGGGGTTAAAGCATGGCTTTCCATCCCTGACTCATAGCACATGCAATTAGTAGACAGGAGGGACTCTAGCCACGAACCACCTATACATGTGGCAGTGCACATTTCTATAGACATATTGGTGTGTGCTATAAATATAACCATGTTTATAACAGAGCAAACAGGGCCACAGGTACATAAATGTCTTAGCCATAACCAAACGCTAGGTGAGAATGAATCACTGGGCGTGGAGACTTGGGACCATAGTCACAGAGGACATGAAGGTCAGTTGGCATAACATAGTCACCAAGGAAATTCTATACATTTGTGAGTAGTGACTGAGGTCTTCTACGCTCGTGAGCAGCCATCTCAGATGGCTACTATTAGTCTCTCCATCTTGGACGCTAATGAGAGTGAAGACAATGGAAAGCACATGGAAGCAATAAGTGTGAAAGGCTGATGGACCACGTGAACCAGAGTTTCCACCAGTCTGAGCTCAAAAGATGGTGCCCAGCTACCACTGCTGACCACTCTGAAAGGGATCACAGCTGTTGTTGTGACATGTCATCGAGTCAGTTCCAACTCACAGCAACCCTGAGGAGCGGCTGGTGAGCTTGAACTGTTGACCTTGTGGTTCAAGCCAACTTTGCAGTGTCCAGTGCATGTATTAACCCACAACCCCACACCAGGACAGTAGAGGGTCCTAAACAGAGGAGAAGAAAAATGTAGAATAAAACTCAAAATATATATTTTCTAAAGACCAAGTCTCATAGAAACTGGTAGAACCCCCAAGACTGTGGTCTTCAGTCACTCTTCAGGCATGGAACTGAACCTGCCCACATGGCCCAACTTTGATCCAAACAGTAGAGTGGATTATAGAGTTTTCAGCAACACCAAGGAGGTCTGCACTCCTTAGAACAACCAACCATATGAAATCAAAAGGGCAGCATTTATCCTGGAGTAAACCTCAGAAGACAGGAAGGGATAGAGAAGAAAGACAAATAAAAATGGTAAACACTGGGAGGAAGTGGGCAGAGTGCTGTTACATTGTGGGTACAGTACACAGTGTCATGAAGTGCAAAATGTGTGTGAATCGTTGAATAGAAAACAACTTGCTCTGTAAAGCTTCACTCAAATCACATAAAGTTATATATTTTAAAAAAGATATCTAGATTCATACCATAAACTCTGTCTGCTCTATGAAATAGCAATTTAATTATTTTAGCCTTCATTGGTTAAAATTTTTACATACAGAGAGAGAGAGAGAGAGAGAAGAGCAGGATTATAGTTGTTATCCTTGGGAGGATTCATGGTCCAAAAGAAGCTATTAGCCATTACTGGAAGTGAGATCTTATCTATTATTTTAATTGATTCAGTATATTGGTTTTCTTCCCATTGATTCTTGGGTAGGCCATTTCATCTATCAAAACAAAACAAAAAGTCCTTCTTGGACACATGAAAGTGCACAATGTGTGTATGTTGCAAAGTCCAGTTAGGGGTAGTAGTATTCCATTTTACTACATTGAGCTGCAAACATTCTGTAGACTGGAAGAGGTGTAAGTCTTAGTAGGAGCTTTATGGGACTCAAACATTTTTAGCAGCATGGGCTGGAGAACTTCTATCTCATCCATGTGGACTGAATGCTCAGTGAACTAGTTGACTTGAATCTATTGCTTATGATTGTCTTTTAATTCAGATTAGGTCAAGAATTGGCTATTGTCCTCAGTCCGACCCCTTATTGAACTACATGACAGGTCGGGAATTGCTACTCATGTATGCCAGGCTGTGGGGGGTCCCTGAACCAGACATTTATGCGTATGTTGAAGACTTTTTGTATTCGATGCACCTGGAGACCCATGCTGACAACTTTATCCACACATATAGGTGAGAGACATTTTTTCCACTGTAATCATGAAGCCACCTACGGTATTTATGCTTTTTGGAACAAATGCCTACAAATTCAATCAGAGCCCCTCCATTCCACAGAAATAATGACTATGAATGAACATAATGTTCAGCCAGTGTTGGTCTATCCAGAATAAGGGGGATCCCAGTGCCATGAGCTCACCCTTTTGCAGATAAGAGCTATATATAACCTTTGCATTCTTTTTATGGAATAAAAAGAACACCTTCATCTCTGAATCCACATGGTTCTTTGTCTCTAAAGAACAAAAACCTGTTCCTAATAATATTACTGAAATCAATGTTTTAAAGCTATGTCATTAGAAATTAATTGAGACACGTGTCCATACATACACACCAGAACTTGATGCTTTACTAGGCATATCAACTCAACACTCTGGATGTCTGGGAAAATTCTTTCCTGTTAATTGATGACATGTGACTGCAGTGGGTTAAGCATTGGGCTGCCATCCACAAGGTCTGTGGTTCAAACCCATGAGCTGCTTCTTGAGAGAAAGATGAGGCTGTCTGCTTCTGTAAAGATTGAGTCTTGAGAACCCAAAGGGCCAGTTCTGCTCAGTACTAGGGGCCTCTATGAATTGGAAGTGACTCGACAGCAGTGGGTTGGGTTGGGTTGGGTTGGGTAGGGTTAGGTTGGGTTGGGTTGGATTGGGTTGGGTTGGGTTGGGTTGGGTTGGGTAGGGTTGGGTTTGAACCCTTATACTCTTTTCCCACTTTTTTTCTTTGGCCATAAAGTAAAGGAAGCAAACGTAGACTGAGTACCGCTGTTGCCCTCATGGGAAGACCTTCAGTTATCTTCCTGGATGAGCCATCTACTGGCATGGATCCAGCGACCCAACACCTTCTGAGGGACACAATTACACAGATTTGTAAAACTGGCAAAGCTATCATTATCACATCCCACAGGTATGGCCCATTGAAATGCTTAGTTGAGAGGTATCTGGATTGCTAATAAAGCTAGAAATATGAGGTTGCCTAAGCTTATGAACAACTCAGGAGGTACTATAGGTATAGAGACTGATTCACCTAAAGGGGCCACTTTGTCTGTGAAAGAGTTCTAAGAGAAGAGGAGAAGTCAGAGAGCTGTTTCTATTGTGGACTTTTTGATGTGTAGCTCTGTAGGATAAACACTGGACTTGTGGTTTGAACCTCTGATCTTGTGATTCAAACTCACCAGCCACTCCTCAGAAACTCTATATAGGGTGGCTGTGAGTCGAAACTGACTCAGCAGTACTTAGCAACAACAACAACATAACTGAATTTTAAAATCTTTTTCTAACATGACCTACCATTGCAAAGGTGACCTTCTAACCCTGACTTGTTTGAACTACAGAATTGTCCCTCTAAAAGAAAGCCTCTCCAACTGAAACTCCTTTGTCTCCATAGCACGGAAGAATGTGAGGCCCTCTGTACCAGGCTAGCCATCATGGTAAAAGGGAGGTTCATGTGCCTAGGCAGTCCTCAGCACCTCAAGAAAAAATTTGGTAATGTATATACCCTGAAAGCCAAAGTTGATGTGAAGAAGGACGAAAATAAACTTAAGGATTTCAAGGAATTTATTGCAACAACTTTTCCAGGTAATATGTGTAGGAATGACGTGTGGCAATTGTGCTGAGTCATGCTTGTATGCTGAATAATTAGCACTGACCTGTGAGCTGCTGGTGTTGATTGTGATATTACATTAAGTTTCTCTGGGAATCATTTTTTCTGTGAACATCCTGTCCCTGACTATGCTAAGGAACTGTCACAAAACAGCAGGGACTGTCAATCTCTTGTAGGAATCAATAAGAGAAAATTGTTTATAAGGATCCATCTAGAGTTACACCATTAAGTATGTTGTTGCTGTTGTTGTTAAGTGCGCTTGAGTTGGTTCCAACTCATAGCGACTCCATTTCTGGATTTAAACCAATGATCTTGTGGTTAGCAGTCCAGTGCTTATCCTACAACACCATGCCAGGATTCTAAATCATTAAATATAACTCTATTATTTATCCTTGACGTTTTTTAAAGTTTCTCCTCTCTTTGAGCATGGACTCTCTGCCATTTGATTTACGTCAGCCAGGCAATGCTTATGAAGTGCCAATAAGAAGAATAGGCTTCCTGTTCTACTTTCAAGGAAACAGTCTGGATGGATTGTGTCACATAGCAGTGCCTTATTCTGCTGCTGCATGCTCCCATCAGTGAACTGTTTTCTGGGCACATGGTCCAATACCAGCTGGGCACAGTCAGCTCCCATTTCTTTCTGTACCTACTACCTTATCTTACTGATGAAACAGAAAGGCCACATTTCAATGCAATCCTGTTGCTTGTGTCTTCTCCACCTCCACCATTCGTCTGTCCGTTTGTCAGATTGCAGTAGCTTGCATGTTGCTGTGATGCTGGAAACTAGGCTACCAGTATGTTGAATGTCAGCAGGGGCCTGTGTGGTAGATAGGTTTCAGCTGAGCTTCCAGACTAAGACAGACTCAAAAGGAGGAGAGGAGAACTACTTCTGAATGTTTAGCCACTGAAAACTGTATGGATAATAGTGAAACACTGTCAGCACCAGAATATTGAATATTGAAACAAAAGAACACCAGAAGATTGTCAAATATGGGGCCAGAAGATGATCCCCTTAGGTTGGAAGGCTCTCAAAGTATGACTGGGGACGACCTGCCTCCTTAAAGTAGAGTCGACTGTGATGACACGAATAGAGTAAGACTTTTGGGACATTCATTTGCTCATGGGGCACAACCCAGTGAGGAGAATCAGCTGTAAACATCCATTAATAATTGGAACATGGAATGTATGAAGTATGAATCTAGGAAAACTGGAAGTTGTCAAAATTAAATGGAACACGTAAACATCAATATCCTAGGAATCAATTAACTGAAAAGGACTGGTATTGGCCATTTTGAATGTGACAACCACATGGCTCACTCTATTGGGATGACGAATGGAAGAAAAATGGCATCATCAAAAAGAAAATTTCATGATCCTTCTTGAAATATAATGCTGTGGTAGGGTAATATACATACACCTACCAGAAAGACCAGAGTCCTGGTGTGGCATTGTGGGTTAATGCACTGGACTGCAAAGTCAGTTTGATCTGCAAGGTCAGCAGTTCAAGCTCACCAGTCATTCCTCAGAAACCCTATACAGGGCTGTTATGGGTCACTTAACAGCAACAAGGAAGACCAGTTAGTACCACTATTATCCAAATTTATGCACCATCCATTAAAGCCAATGATGATCAAATTTATGAATTCTATCAACTTCTTCCGTCTGAATTTGATTAAACATGGACTTAAGATATATTGATAATAACTGGCAATTGGAATCAAAGGTTGGAAACAAAGAAGAAGGATCAGTAGTTGTAAAATATGGCCTTAGTAACAGAAATGATGTCGGAGATCACATGATAGGATTTTTCAAGACCAATGATTTAGTCATTTTAAATACCTTTAAAAAAAAAACATAACAGATGACTATACACATGGAGGTACAAGAGCTGAACAGAAAATTTCAAAGGTCAGCTCAAGAAGACAAAGTCAAATATTACAACAAAATGTGCAAAGATCTGGAGTCAAAAAAACAAAAGGGAAGAACACGCTCATCATGAACATGCTCCGCTGGGAGAACTGAAGAAAAAAATCAAACCTCGACTTTCGTTATGGAAGGATTCTCTGGGCAAATTATTGAATGATGCAGAAAGCATCAAGAGAAGATGGAAGGAATACACAGAGGCACAGTACTAAAAAGAAGTGGTTGATGTTCAACCATTTCAAGAGGTAGCATATGATCAAGAGTCAATGATCCTGAAGGAAGAAGTCCAAGGTGCACTGAAGGCATTGGTGAAGAACAAGGCACCAGGAATTGACGGAATAAAATTGAAATCTTTCAACAAAGTGAAGTGGCACTGGAGGCACTCACTTATCTATGCCAAGGAATTTGGAAGACAACTATCTGGCCAGCTGATTGGAAGAGAACTGTATTTGTGCCCATTCCAAAGAGAGGTGACCCAATGGAATGCAGAAATCATAGGACAATATCACTGATATCCCATGCAAGTAAAGTTTTACTAAAGATAATACAGAAACGGCTGCAAGCATACAATGACAGAGAACATCCAGAGGTTCAAGCCAGATTCAGAAGAGGAAGTGGAACAAGGAATATCATTGCTGATGACCGATAGATTTGGGCTGAAAGCAGAGAATACCAGAAAGATGTTTACCCGTGCTTTATTGACTATGCAAAGGCTTTCAGTTGTGCAGAGGATGACAAGCTATGGACAACATTGCAAAGTATGAGTATTCCTGAACACTTGATTGTGCTCATAAAAAATTTGTACATAGAGCAAGAGGCAGTTGTTCAAACAGAACCTGGGAACACTGAACGGTTTAAAATTAAGAAAGGTGTGCAGCGGGGTTGTATTCTTTCACCATACTTATTCAACCTGAATGCTGAGCAAATAATCCAGGAGGTTGGGTTATATGAAGAAAAACATGGCATCAGGATTGAAGGAAGACTCATTAACAGATAGATTTGTTGCATTCAACACGGATGGTCAAAAACCAGAAGCGTTGTGGGATGTCAACAAGAACATCATACAGGAAGAAAGCAAAAGATCATTAAGAAGACAAGAAAGAAAGAAAGAAAGGACCAAATGGATGTCGAAAACTCTGAATCTTGCTCCTCCAGCAAATGAGGAGGTAAAAGAGCTGAACAGAAAATGTCAAAGGGCAGCTCGAGAAGACAAAGTCTGATATTATAATGAAATGTGCAAAGATCTGGAGTTGTTAAACCAAAAGGGAAGAACACACTCAGCATTTCTCAAGCTAAAAGAACTGAGGAAAAAATTCAAGCCTGGACTTGCAATTCTGAAGGATTCTTTGGACAAAATATTCAATGGTGCAGAGTGCCAAATGAAGATGGAAGGAATAAAAAGAGTCACTGTACCAAAAAGAAATGGTCGGTGTTCAGCCATTTCAAGAGGTAATGATACTGAAAGGTGCTCTGAAGGCATTAGCAATGAACAAGTCTCCAGGAATTGATGGAATGCACAGAGAAATCTTTCGACAGACTGATGAAACACTGGAGGCTCACTCATCTATGCCAAGAAATTTGGACAAAATCTACCTGGCCAACTGATTGGAAGAGATCCATCTTGGTGCCCATTGCAAAGAGAGGTGAGGCAATGGACTGCAAAATCATCAGACAACATTAGTATTTCTTACAAGCAAAATGTTGCTAAAGAAAATTCCAAAACAGCTGTACCAGTACATTGATAGGGAACTGCCAGAGGTGCAAGACAAATTCAGACAAGGATGTGGAGCAAGGAATATCATTGCTGACATCAGGTGGATCTTGGCTGAAAGCAGAGAATACCAGAAAGATGTTTTGTTGTTTTTAAGTGCCCTTGAGTCGGGTCCAACTCATAACGACCCCGTATACAGTTTATGAGGAACAGCTGGCAAGTTTGAAACGCTGACCGTGTGGCTCAAACAGATCTTGCCATTCAGTACTTTTCCTGTGGTGTCATACCATAAGGATGTTTACTTGTGCTAAACATTGACTATGCAAAGGCTTTGACTGTGTGGATCATGACATGCTGGATCATTGCAGAGAATGAGTATTCCAGAACACTTCATTGGATTGAACTAGGCAAATCTGCAGCACAAGACCTCTTTAAAGTGTTCAAAAGCAAAGATATCAACTTGAGGATCATGGTGCACCTAACCCAAGCCATGGTATTTTCAGTTGCCTCATGTGCATGTGAAAGTTGGACAATGAATAAGGAAGGCCTTAGAAGAATTGCTGCTTTTGAGTTATGGTGTAGTAGAAGAATATTGAAAGCCCCATGAACTACCAAAAGAACAAACAGGTTTGTGTTGAAAGAGGTACTACCAGAATGCTCTTTGGAGGCCAGGACGGTGAGATTTTGTCCCTCATACTTCAGACATATTCTCAGGAGGGACCAGTCCCTGAAGCAGGACAGCATGCTTGGTAAGTGGAGGGCCAGTGATAAAGAGGAAGGTTTCTTGATTGCTGCTTCTATAAGCACTGACTATGGATACAAGCAAAATGAAGTCATTGACAACTTCAATCTCTTATCCATCTATCATGATGTTATTTATTGGTCCAGTTGTGAGGATTTTTGTTTTCTTTACATTGAAGTGCAACCCATAACGAAGGTTGCGGTCTTTGTTCTTTATCAGTAAGTACTTTAAGTCCTCTTTACCTCCAGCAAGAAATGTTGTATCATGTGTATGTCACGGGTTGTTAATGAGTCTTCCTCCGATCCAGATTCCATGTTCTTCATATAATCCAACTTCTTGAATTATTTGCTCAGCATACAGATTGCATAAGTATGGTGAAAGGATACAACCTTGACATACACCTTCCCTGATTTTAAACCATTCACCATTCCCTTGTTCTGCTTGAATGGCTGTCTGTTGATATATGTACAAATTCCTCATGAGCACAATTAAGTGTTCTGGAATACCCATTCTTCACAATGTTATCCGTAACTTGTCATGATCCACACATTCGAAAGCCTTTGCAAAGTCAATAAAGCACAATTATGCATCTTTCTGTTATTCTCTGCTTTCATCTAAGATGCATCTAATATCCACAATGATATCCCTAGTTCTACCACCTCTCCTAAATTTGGCTTGAATTTCTAGAAGATCCTTATCAATAAACTATTGCAACCGTTTTTAAATTATCTTCAGCAAAATTTTAATTGCATGTGATATTAATGTTATTGCTCGATGGTTTACTCATTCTGTTGGGTCACCTTTCTTTAGAATGGGCAATCAGTTGACCTGGTAGATGCCTTTCCACTTTCTCACCATAGATGAGTGATCACCTCCACTGCTGCAGTTTGTTGAAAGATTTCAATATGTATTCCTTCAGTTCCCAGAGTCTTGTTCAGTGCACCATTGACTCTTGATCATATACTACCTATTCAAATGGTTGAACATCAACCATTTCTTTTTGGTACAGTGACTCTGCATATTCTTTCCATCTTCTTTTGTTGCTTTTTCTGAATCATTCAACATTTTGTCCATACAATCCTTTAATATTGCAAGTCCAGACTTGAATTTTTTCTTCAGTTCCCTCAATTTGAGAAATACTGAGTGTATTCTTCCCTCTTGGTTTTCTAACTCCAGATCTTTGCTCATTTCATTAGAATATTTCACTTTGTCTTCTTGAGCTGCCCTTTGAAATGTGCTATTTGGCTCTTTTACCTCCTTGTTCCTTTAGCATCTGTATGCTGCAGAGCAAATTTCAGAGTCTTTTCTGACATTCATTTTGCTTTTCTTTCTTTCTTGTTGTCTTACTAGCATTTTGCTTTCTTCCTGTATGATAGTCCTGATGTCATCCCACAACTCATCTGGTTTTTGATCATTAGTGTCTAATGGAACAAATCTGTTCTTGAGATGGTCTCTAAATTCAGGTGGGATATATTCAAGGTTATACTTTGGCTCTCATGGACTTGTATTAGTTTTCTTCAGCTTCATCCTAAACTTGAATATGACCAATTGAAGATCTATTCCACAGTCTTCCCCCAGCCTTGTTTTGGCTGATGATACGGAGCTTTTCCACCAGCTCTTTCCAGAAGATGTGGTCAATTTGATTTCTGTGTGTTCCATCTGGTGAGGTCCATGTGTATGGTCATCTTTAATGTTTTCTAAAAAAGTGTTGAAGAACAAAGATGTCAGCTTGAGGACTAAGGTGCACCTGACCCAAGCCATGGTATTTTCAGTCACCTCGTGTGCATGCGAAAGCTGGACAGTGAATAAGGAAGACCGTAGAAGAATTGATGCCTTTGAATTATGGTGTTGGAGGAGAATATTGCAAGTGTCATGGGCTGCCAAAAGAACCAATAGATCTGTTTTGGAAGAAGTGCAGCCAGAGTGCTCCTTAGAGGCCAAGATGACCAAACTTCGTCTCTCATACTTTGGACATATTGTCAGGAGGGACCAGCTACTGGAGAAGGATATCTTGTTTGGTAAGGTGGAGGGTCAGAGAAAAAGAGGAAGACCCCCAATGAGATGGATTGGCCAAGTGGCAGCATCGATGGACTCAAGCGTGGCAACAATAGTGAGGTTGGCCCAGGATCAGGCAGTGTTTCGTTCTGCTGTGCATAAGGTCGCTATGGGTCAGTACCGACTCGAGGGCACCTAACAACAACCACAAAAAAGGTATTTGCAAGGTAGAAGTCATTGGTCTTGCAATGGAATCTCCAGCTTCATCCCTATCACCAAGACATCCCTATTTTGCAACTACTGATCCTTCCTCATTGTTTCCAAACTTTGCATTGGAACTCAAAGGTTGGAAACCCCAAAAGTTAGTGAGTTAAAAATAATAAACACTTACTTTCTCAATTTAAATGGGTTAGGAATGTAGGAGCAGCTTAGCTGGGTGGTTCTGGATCCGAGTCTCTCATGATGTTGCTGGGCTTACAGTCATCTGAAGAACGACTGGGGTTGGAGTCTGCTTCCATGATGACACACTCACCTCAGCAGTTCCTCACCACGTGGCCTTCTTCCCAGGGCTGTATGAGTGTCTTCACAGCTTGGTGGCTGACTTCTCCCACAGCAAAAGGATGAGGAAGAAAGTCATCAGACTGAGTAGGGGCACTTGGCTGGCTTCTGCAATACTGGGTGTCAGCTACGTTTGTGTGAACCTTATCCTAATACACTAACTTATGTTTCACACACAGTTTAGATGTTTGATATACTTCCTGTTCATATATATTTTACAACAAAAAGGATTTTAATTAGTTTTAATTAAACATGGAGGCTAGATGTGGACTCATTACAAAAGGAAATCATTATTGACGTATGGTTTACTTCTTTAAAATATTTTAAACCTAATACATTCCATTTGCAATAATCTCCAAGTGTGTATTAATAAATGCAAACACATCCTATTAATTAAGACTGGCTACAATATAATAACATATAACACTGTAGTCATTCATAATTAATAGGATATATTTACATACACTATTGGAGTCCTGGTGTGGCGCTGTGGGTTAATGCACTGGACTGCAAAGTCAGTTTGAACCTCAAGGTTGGTGGTTCAAGCTCACCAGCTGCTCCTTGGAAACCCTATACAGGGTCGCTGTGGGTTGGAACCGATTCAATGGCACTTAACAACAACAACATTTACACTATTATTACAGACTTAGAGATTATGGAAAATGGAGTTACTTGGCTTAAAAACATTTTAAAGTAAGAAACTCTATTTCAGTAACAGTGAGTGCTTTCCTTTTGTAGAGCCCTGGGTGGTACAAATAGTTAATAAAAAAAGTTGGCAGTTTGAATCCACTCAGGGCAACCTTGAAGGAAAGGCCAGGCAATCTACTTCTGACCAATCAGCCAGTGAAAACCCTGTGGAGCGGAGCGCAGTTCCACTCTGACACACATGGAATTACCATGAGCTGGAATTCAACGGACAGCACTAATACAACAGTATTACTGCTATATTTCAGACGTTGTTAATATCTCACTCCTCGTGTGAGTGCCTTCTATTCATACTTGTCTTACATTTGTATTTTATGTACATGAATTGTTGTCTTTCACGGAGGATCACAGCTATTTAGTCATGACAGTTGCCTCCCTTACAGACTTACACACACCCCCACACACAATGTCTGGAAAAAGAAACCACGCCCTAGTTTTATAAGCATAGGGTCAGGACTAAGTTTAGGTATAGAGTCCTATGGCTTATTAGATTCCATGCAACTCTCAGGTTTTGCAGAGTGAGCATATTCACTCCATTTTTGCAGACCTAAAACAGACTAACCTACCATCTGCAGTCTTTACAAATTGCAGGCACTAAAACCTTATTTCAGTAAAAAGTAAATCTATTGAAATAATTAGCAAGGTCACGTATATCAAAAGAACGGGCCTTCAGATTATCTTCTGTGTGAGCTGCGTGTATTCTCTGTCCCACTAGTGTGCATCATTGGAAGTGGAATTAGTTATTTTTTTAAATTCTTATCAAATACTAGGTCCATCTCCATTATTCACCTATTATATTTTTTTCATTCTTAGGTAACATCATAAACCTGGAGCATGAGGGAATTATTGACTGTTTCATCCCCAGCAATGAAATTAGCTGGGGAAAGGTGATTATGGAATCATGCCTTTCGAACATTATGAGTTACTAGGAGGCACTGGGATTCAAGCATGTGTAATGAGGATCTAACCTTAGGGGAGGGGTAGAATCTTTAGGTTACTTTTCAAAGGTTCCTGTAGTTTAATTCACGGTGCTTCTGCCCCTGAAGTGTATTAATTTTCCATGCTGTAGGTAAGCACTGGACCACAAAGTCAGTTTGAACTGCAGGGTCGGTAGTTCAAACCCACCAGCCGCTCCTCGTAAACCCTATACAGGGTCGCTATGAATCGGAATGACTTGACAGCACTTAACAACCACAACATCAAGAGAATGGGGGTGGAGAACTATCTTCTCTCTACGTTCCTTTATCTTTTCCTTATACTTTCTCACTTCTCCTTCACTACTAATTTTTGTCCCAAAGCATAAACCTGGCAGAAGCTGGGTGGTAGGGTGGACAGAGGGTAATTCATCCAGGAAGATCGCCATGGTAATGCCACCATTTTTCCCCGTTAAAGGTGTTTCATATTTTGGAGGATGCTAAGTTGCTATTCAATTTAGAAGACTATTCGGTCAGTCAGATAACACTGGAACAAATCTTCCTCACCTTAGCGAACATCGACAAGATGGAAACCGATGAGAAAACCTAGCTGTGAGATTCAGCTCCAGCCAGTGCTGTGTATGGCTTTCTTAGGCTATGCTTACACCTGGATGCACTGAAAGACATTTATTTTTGTGTGTATATCTTTGTGTGTGTTGTGTGCCTGTGTGTGTTTATTTCATTCTCATTATTTGTGGTAGTGATGTTCTCTACAAAAAATAATAAATTCAAAATTATCATTGAGTTGATTCTGACTCTTGGTGACTGCTGTGTTCCAGGAAGAATCATTAAGTCCAAGAGGATTTAAAATACTTACTAATGAAGATTAATAAGACCACAACCTTTTACACCTCAATGTAAAGAAAACAAAAATCCTCACCACTAGGCTAATAAATAACATCCTTCACACAGATATTGGAAACTTTTCTATCCTTTTAAGAAAAAAAAGTACACAGACAACCTGTCAGACTTACATTTCTTGATCATAAATGTGGAAAACAGCACATATGCTTCTGATTCACTTCCTGTATTATAAACAGATTTGTTTTTGTAATACAGAGACTAATTTTGAAATTTTAGAACACTTTAGAATCTTGTTCATGAATGGAATAAATTATATATATTTTTAAAACACTTCTGATGAAGATCAAAGACTACAACAGTCAGTATTGATTGCACCTCAATGTGAAGAAAAGGGAAATCCTCACAACTGGACTAGTAAATAAAACCATGATGAATAGAGAAAAGACTGACGTTGTCAAAGATTTCTTTTTTTCTTGCATCCATAATCAATGGTCATGGAAGCAGCTGTCAAGAAATCAAACACTGTATTGCATTAGGCAAATTTGCTGCAAAAGACTTCTTTAAGGTGTTACAGAGCAAAAATGTCCTTATGAGAATGAGAACAATGATGTGTATAATCCAAGCGATGGTGTTTTTAATCTCATGTACAAGCATCTGGCTGTAGAATTTATTTTAATCAACTTTTAGAAAAGATAAATCATTTTTTCACATAATCTCCTTACTTTAAAATACACTTTGTCCATCTGTCAACAAGCTTTCACATTCCCTTATTTAAAAATGTTTTAGGCTGAGCTGTGATTCACGAATGCACCACTGTCTTCACTTCTTCATCAGAGGTGAATCTTCATCTTCAAAGGGCTGCTTTCAGGGGACCAAACAGATGAAAATCCAATAGAGCAACATCAGGACTATAAGGAGGATGCTTTAACACCTCAAAATGAAGTTTTTGCAGAGTGTCAACAGTGTGGGCAGAGGTGTGCAGATATGCATTTTCATTCAAGACCACAACACCCTTGAAGAGCAGTCCTCTGCCTTTAATCCAAAGTTTAGGATTTCAGCTCTTGATTGAGCAACTCACCATAAGGAGCGCTGTTGATTATTGAACGTTTTTCCTGATCCAGTTCCAATACTGACCCTTGAGAATCCCAGAAAACTCTAAGCATCAATTTTCCAACTGATGGCTGACTTTTGAACTTTTTCTTGGTTGGCAATTGAGGATGTTTTCATTCTATAGTCTACCATTTACTCTCAGGCATACAATAGTCCTTAAACTGACATCTTTGCTCTTGAACACTTTCAAGAGGTCTTGTGCAGCAGATTTGTTTAATGCAATATGTCATTTGATTTCTCCTGCTTCCATAAATGTTGATGGTTGATCTGACGCAAAATGAAGACATTGACTTCAAACTTTTCTCCATTTATTTCGATGTTATTTATTGCTCCCGTGGTGATGATTTTTGTTTTCTTTACAACAATTGAGTTGCAACCTATGCTGTAGGCTGTGGTCATCTTCATCAGTAAATATTTTATGTCCTGTTTGCTTCCAGAAAACAAGGTTGTATCATCCACCTATTGCAGGATATTAATTAATCTCCCTCCAATCCTGTGCCACATTCTTCTTCATATAATCCAGCTTCTCAAATTGTTCCGTCAGCATAGAGTTTGAATAAGTATGGTGAAAGAATAAATATGGTGAAGGTGCACACCTTTCCTAATTTTAAACCATTCAGTGTTCCCTTGTTCTTTAAGAATGACTACTTCTTGGTCTATGTACAGGTTTCAGAATACTCATTCTCCTCAATGTTGTCCATAGCTTGGCATGATCCAGAAAATCAAAATCCTCTGCATATTAAATCATCGGTAAACATCTTTCTGGTTTTCTCTGCTTTCAACCAAGATCCATCTGACATCAGCAGTGATATTCCTCATTCCAAGTCCTCGTCTGAATCCTGTTTGAATCTCTGGCAGTTCCCTTTCAATGTACTGTTGCAGACATTTTTAAATTATCTTTATTAAAATTTTACTTGCTTGCAATATTGATGATATTGTCCAATGATTTTCACATTCCACTGAGTCATCTCTCTTTGGAATGGGCACATATAGGGGTCTCTTTTAAATCAGTTGTCCAGATATCTATCTTCCAAATTTCTTGATATAGATAAGTGAGTGCCTCCAGTGCCACATCAGTTTGTTGAAAGATTTCCATCTGTATTTCATCAATTCCCTGAGCCTTGTTCTTTGCCAATGCCTTCAGTGTAGCTTGGACTTCTTCCTTCAAGACCATTGGCTCTTGATCATATGCTACCTCTTAAAATCATTGAACATTGACCCTTTCTTTTTGTTACAGTGACTCTGTGTATCCTTTCTACCTCTTTTGATGCTTTCTGTATCATTCAATAGTGCAAGTTGAGGCTTGAATTTTTTCTTCAATTGTTTCAGTTTGAGAAATGCTGAGTATGTTCTTACCTTTTGGTTTTCAAACTCCAGATCTTTGCACTTTTCATTGTAATATTAGACTTTATCTTATTAAGGTGCTCTTTGAAATTTTTGCTCAACTCTCCTACCTCCTCATTTCTTACATTTATTTAGAATCTCTGTGCTGGAAAGTAAGTTTCAGAGTGTCTTCTGACATCCATTTTGGTCTTTTGTTTCTTTCTTGTCTTCTTAATGACCTTTTGCTTTTTTCTTGTATCATGTTCTTAATGTCATCCCACAACTCTTCTGGTTTTTGATCATTAGTGTCTAGTGCAATAAATCTGTTATTGATCTTAAGATGATCTCTAAATTAGGTGAGATATGTTCAAGGTCATATTTTGGCTTTCTTGGAATTGTGTTAATTGTCTTCAACTTCAGCCTGAACTTGCATGTGAGCAATTGATGGTCTGTTCCACAGTCTGCCTCTGGCCTTGTTTGGCTGATGATATGGAGCTTTTCCACCATCTCTTTCCACAATTGTAGTTAGGTAATTTGATTTCTGTGTATTCCATCTGCTGAGGTTCTTTATGTTGTTTTAAAGAGGTGTTTGCAATGAAGTCATTAGTCTTGCAAATTTCTATCATACAATCTCCAGCATCATTTGTCACCAAGGCCATATTTTCCAATTATTGCTCCTTCCTCTTTGTTGCCAACCTTTGCATTCCAATCACTAGTAATTATCATTACGTCTTGATTGCATGTTTGATCAATTTTAGACTGAAGAAGTCAGTAGAATTCTTCACTTTCATCATCACTGTTTATGCGTTCCATTTCATTTTTGACAACTTCTCATTTTCCTAGATTCATGCTTTTTGCATACCATGTTCCGATTATTAATATGTGTTACAGCTGCTTCTCTTCATTGTGAGTTCTGCCCCCTCAGCAACTGACGGTCCCGCAGGCTTTACTCCAATGATGTCATCACGGTCAACTCTACTTTGAGGAGGCAGCTCTTCTCCAGTCGCATTTTGAGTGTTTTCCAACTTGAGAGGCTCATCTTCCTGCACTATTTCTGACAATATTCTGGTGATCTTCATCTTGCTTCAATTTGCAGTATTCTGGTGCTACCTGACAACATTCCACTGCTATTCATAAGGATTTCAGTGACTAACTATTCAGAAATAGTCTGTCTCTCCTTCTTCCTAATTTGTCTTAATCTGGAAGCTCAGCTAAAACCTCTCCACCACGGGTGAACCTGCTGATATGTAAAATACCAGTGGCGTAGCTTCCAGCCTCACCACAACATGCAGCCACCACAGGACAAGAAACTGATGAGTGGGGAAGGAAAGCAAGAAAAACAAAAATAAGGAAGAAGGGAAGAAAAATTAAGAGAGAAAGAAGAGACACACACAAAAAAGAAAAGAAACCAATGCTGCCTGGTATGTCCCTGACCCCTTCGTGGAGGGTTAGGGACAGGTGATACTGAACCGAGCGGGTGAGGCCTGCTTATCTGGATCCAAAAAAAAGGGAAGTGTAGGAAGAGGAAGAACTGAGGTTGGGGGGG